TACCAGTGAAGGAATTTTTCTTTTACTTTTCAAAGAGAAGAGCGAACTGGGGTGGGGGGCAGGGAGAAAAGTGCAACAATGAATGAAAATCCAAAATCTCTGTAAATGTTCATTAAAATTAATAATAATAAAAAATTACTCTGAAGAGCTGAATTAATAAATGTCCAGAGGCATCCCACTTCACCAGTCTCAACACACCCAGCTTTCAGTCCATGGGCCAGCAAGCCCAGCTCCACCATGAGCTGACATGCACCCCACACCGCCAGGGAACCTCTGTCTGGGGTCATTAAGCTTTCTGACCCCATGAGGCAACTTCCATACCATTTTATGTCAGTCTCTTCAAAGTTCCAGTAAGTCTCATGCTGCTATTATTCCCCGGCCACTGCTTTTCATTGTTTGTGCCATCTCTGGTGTAAAAATCTCCTTTCTTGCCGAGCCTTCACCAAAACTGCCTTTGGTATCTGTAGTTTCACCAACAGTATCTTCAAGGCAAGCTAAGCTTTTACTGTGGTGTTGTTGTTAGGTGCCACCAAGTCAACTAAGACTCATAGCAACCCTCTGAACAGCAGATCTAAACCCTGCCCTGTCCTGCACCGTCCTCACAACCTCTGACATGCTCAAGCCCATTGTTACAGTCACTGTGTCAATTTCTCTTAAGGGTCTTCTCTTTCTCTGACTCTCAACCTTTCCCAGCATGATGTCTTTTTCCAAGGCCTGACCCCTCCAGACATTGTGCCCAAAGTAAGTGTGATGACATTTGAGCATCTTCACCTCAATGGAAAACCTGGTTTCACGTTCTCTAAGATAGACACGTTTGTTCTTTTGACAGTCCATGGGATATTTAGCATTCATCTCCAACACCATAAGCCAAAGGCATCGATTCTTCTATCTTTCTTATTCATTATTCAACTTTCATATGCATTTGAAAAGCTCATGGCTTGAATTATATGCACCTTATTCTTTAAACTGATGTCATTGTTCTTTAGTAGTTTTGTAAGTAGATTATCCTAGAACACAATGTCATTTGATTTCTTGACTGGTTTTCACCAACTTCTTGATAGATTTCAGGCAATGCTTAAAGTCCTTATGCATTTAAAGAGGCATCAGGGGAGACTTTCTTTTGTAGTGAAGTTTGTACGGGGTTGTTCTTTTGAGCCAATGACTGTGCCTCTCTAGGAGTTCAAATCCATCAGCAGCTCCATGGGAGAAAGACAGGCAATCTCTTCCTGTACAACTTACAGCCTCTGAAAACTCTGTAGGGGGTTCTGACTCCATGGCAATCAGTTTGGGTATTTTTTTCAAAGAAATTTCTGCTTCATTCTCCACTAACGCTCTCTTATCCAGCTTTGAAAAAGTCTTCCCTTCAGACTAAATTAATTTTTTAATTTTTAAAAAGAGACAGATTTAAAAAAAGAGAGAGATTAGACATTTAACCGAGCATGACATGAGGAACATTAGCTTTAATATCTGTCTCTCCCTCCCTCTCCCTCTGTCTCTCACTCTGTGTGTGTGCACATGCTTTATAAAAGAAATATGAAGAATGTATGCCAGAAATTGATATCTATATGGGAAAGAGGGAATAAAGAAATCAAATAAGGAGCAAGTGAATATTACAAAAATAAAATGTAAAGAAGAGTACCAGATAGAATGTTCAATTTGAACAGTTCCACAGCTAACTAGCAATAAGATCTAGAAAAAGCTACTCAATTTCTGTCAACCTCAGTTCTAATAATAAGTTTCTGTCAACCTCAGTTCTAATAATAAAATGTTTAGGGTCACTGGGGATATCAAGTGAGAAAGCACCTGATGAAACACAGAGTCCAACCCCTGGTTAAAAAAAAAGTCTCCTAAATGTTAGCTAGAGTTGGTATTGTGCTAGCATGGCATGCAAGAGCTTTGAAAGCGTCTTACATTTTGTAGCTACCTTTTGGCTTATGTTTTTGTTGTTTCCCTGTTTGTCTTGTCTTCAGGGGGTGAGGGTAGGGAGCTCTTTAATAGGATTGGTGGCAGTGTTACTTTCCTTAGAACCAGCTCTAACTTATCAGTGTTGTTGTTGTGTGCCATTGAGTCAGAGTTGACTCTCCGCTGGGTTTTCAGAGGCAGTAAATGGCACAGGAGGAGATTACCCATCCTTCTCCTACACAGAAGCTGGTGGATTTGAACCAGATACCTTTGGAATTGCAGTGTATAACTTCTTATCCCTAGGCTCCCAGGCTCCCTAACTTATATATTGTTGTTATCACCATTGAGTTGGAACTGACCCGTAGCCGACCCTCCAGTGGGTTTTCAGAGGCAGTTAATTGCAAGGGAAGAGGTTGCCCCTCCTTCTCCCTCAGAGCAGCTGGCGGCCTCACACTGCATGTCTTTGGGATTGCAGTGCAACTTCTTCCCACTAGGGCAACCTGTGCTGTAAAATGGAACAAAATGTTGTCCAGGCCAGTGTTATGTCCATGATTGTTGGTATATATGACTACATTTTTGTGGTAATTGTGTCAATCAGTCTTATTGAGACTTTTTCTCATTGGTCCTTTACCAAACACCATGTTATTCTCAAATGCTGGATCTTAAAAATGACTCTTGTTAGGCACTGCCAGGTCTACTAGTGGACTCCTAGTGATGCTATGAATGACAAATGGAAACATAGGCCTATGGTGCATCAACTTCACAGTCTCCACCTCGCTCAAACCTCCCATACTGTCACCATGCCAACTCATCTCTTTGAGAATCTTCCTCCCTTTCACAGCTCTTCTGCTTTTCCCAGCTTGGTGTCTTTTTCTTTTTTTTTTTCTTTGCTTTGCTTTCTCTCCTCTCCTCTCCTCTTCTCCCTCCTCTTCTTTTTCTCTAGTTTTCTCTTTTCTTTTCTTTTTCCTTTCCTTTCCTTTCTTTTTCCTTTTTTTTCTTTTCTTTCCAAGCCAAGCAAAAGGTTTATTAGAGAAAATACTTTGCAAAGGGAGGCATGGAAAGACAAGGTGCCACTAGCCCATGGCTCATTCAACAAAGGAGTGTGTCGTCCTTTTAGAACCTCTGGAGATGTGGAATGAGTATTCCTTCATGAGAGGGTTAGGTTTTAAGAGTCAACCTAGTTGTTGTCGTTGTCACACACATGATGTCCTTTTCTAAGGACTGTCACTTCCTGGTAGCATGTCTAACGTATATCAGACAAAGCTTTCCTATCCTTTCTTCCAAGGAACACTCTGGTTCTTAAAAGAATAAGGATTTATATTTTCCTTTTCAGGCAATTGGCCGGAGATCTTCCTAGCCTCTTATTATTTCAGGGTGGGATAGGAAAAATGGTAAGAACTTCACAAGATAGGGAGAAAGCAAGCAGCTTTAGAAAATAAATAAAATAGGGTGAATCCCCAGTGTTCATTTCAAAGATGTAAAGGGCCTGGACCTAGAAAATGGAGGCCTGCCAAAAGAACAGAGGGGAAATCCCCAAATCTACTTTACATTTCTCCCTTCATCCTCTTTTATGAAAAGCAGGGAGAGAGTGTGACTATATAATTTGTTCCATGTGACTTAGAATCCCAGGTTTGCTTTCTTTGTTCCAATAAGGAAACATCCTTCAACTCCCTCCCTCTCTCTCTCTCGCTCAATGCTTCATTGTTTGTAGTGCTGTTTATAAAATCATGCAGGTTTTATACTCTAGGCTCTTCTTGAAAAGGAACCCAAAGCCCTTTTTATCCTGACATTTCAAAGCCAAATTGAATTCAACAGCTTCCAAGAACTCTGCCACTGGACTGTCTGTGTAACTCTGGGCAAGGTTCTAGATCTTGGACTTGAATGAGGATGTGTCCCCTGATGGAAAGTGCCACCATGGGAATGTGTGTGGCCAAGTTCATCTCTCAGCATCGTGTGAGTGGTTTCAGCAAGTATGATAGCCTCAAAATGCATCTCCTAGCATGAGTTCCAGTGAATTTTATAATCTGGCATAGTAAATTCTCTCACATTTTCTTTTTTTTTTTTTTTGCTTTGCACATCAAACAAATGATTTTAATGGCTGCAAAACACTAAACCTCTGAAAATGCATGAGCTCACAGAGAAAGAAAATGTACAACTAACATGTGGCTCTTAAATCCTTCCAATGAAAACTGGTTTGTAGAGGTTGAGAATTAAGACTGTGTTCTGTCTTCCCAGCATTGATGAGTCCGATCACATTTTCTAAGATTGACAACTCAGAAGGGTCCCTGTTAGGTGCTGTCAAGTCAAGTATGACCCACAGTGACCATATGAATAATAGATCTGAACCCTGTCCTATCCGGTACTATCCTCACAATTCCTGACACACTCGAGCCCATTGCTGCAGAGTCAATCCATTTGATTGAGGGTCTTCCTCTATTTCACTGACCCTCTAACTTTCCAAGTTTGATGTTCCTCTCCAAAGAAGAACCTCTTCTAGCAACATGTCCAAAGTATGTGAGATGAAGCATTATCATCTTTGCCTTCAAGGAGCACTCTCGCTGCACCTTCTCCAAGATGTATCTGTTTGTTCTTCTGGCAGTCCACAGAATGTTCAGTACCAGCACCACAGCTAAAAGGTATCAATTCTTCTTCTGTCATCCTATTCATTGTCCAGCTGTCAGATGCATAGCAAATGACTGAAAAGATCATGGCCTAAATCAGGCACACCTTAGTCCTCAAACTAACATCGTTGCTCCTTGATAATTGGGAGAGGTCTCTAACTACAGACTTTCCCAGAGCACTACATCTCCTGATCTCCTAAACTGCTGGTACCAAGTGTAGTGATTGTGGAGCTTTCAAAAACTCCCTGGCCTCACTGGTATCGGTCTCAGCTGAGTGTGCATTGTTGGAGTTGGCCAACAATTGAAATGAAGAAACTGACTAGAAGTTTGTTCACAGAATTGCTAAGAAAGCTAGTGAATCTGTCTTATACCTGGAGATCAGCGAACAGACAGTGTGGCCATGAAGCTATAAGCCACTACCACCCATGACCACCACATCCAGTTAACGGCATTGGTGCTCTGCTACCTCAGCCATCACTACAGTGACAATATCACAATTTTTATGACATTAGACAGTGAAAAGCACTTGTGTTCTAGATCCTGTCTGCATCTCATAAGCAGCCAGGCACAAGAAGAGTGAGGATTTCTGCCTGTCAGCTGCACACTGTGTCTGTCTGGTTAACAATCAGAAGACACAACATATCTTCTGTGTGTCCTTCTTGGCAGATGGGACCAAGAAGAGCAAATCTTCCTGCCTGTCAGCTCTGCACTGTGTCTGTTTGGCTAATAACCAGAAGCTACAACACAATTATACAACCTTTCCTCTGGATCTTCCTTGAGATTCTGGCAACAAAACATTGGTTCAGAAGAGGGACAATCCCCTCAAGAGTAGGAAAATGATCTAGACATGGGCCAGCAAGGAGAAGAACAATGTTCACTAAGGTCCTAGAATTGTGGATGGTGCTGTCAAGTGACTTTTTCAGCTGTCCCTTTGCTCTGCTCACCACCCGGTGTTAGGGCCAGGCCTGCCCAGTCCTGTCACGCCTCGGTACCTAAGCAGGTGCAGTTGCTCCCTTCTGGCATCTGGAGTCATGCCATCCATTGCTCATGTCCAAGTTCTTGTTGTTTTAACATTGGGTCTCCATCCCCAGGGCTTTCTCCTGGCTGCCGTTCATGGACTCGAGTTTCTTTGCACGAAGCTGTACGATACCAGCTGAGCCAATCATAGAGCTAGAGACTTGGACAGAAATGACCTTCCCCCCACCTATTCTGGGCTCTTCTCTACAGGTCTACTCACTGAGCCCTGGATATGGAAAGAGCGCAGGACCCAGATTTGCTGAGACCGTGGCCAAACCTTTGTGAGCCTCAGTTTCCTTATCTGGAATAACAGGGATTAGTGGTGGTGAAGAATTCCTGGGTTGCCAAATTATAGTGATTCTGATTCTAACTTGAGTGTCTTTTATTTTATTTATTTTATTTTTTAACCCCTTTGGCTTTCCTTCTTGGCTGCTTCTTAATCTCCTATAGCTGCCTTGAAAAGCACTGCAAAGTGGATGGCTTTAAACAACAGAAATGTGTATGTGGAGGCGAGAAATCCAAACCACCATGTCAGCCAGACTACGTTCCATTTGCGATCTGTAGGGTAAAATCTTTTCTGGTCTTTCGAGCTGTTATTGTGTACCACTGAGTCAAATCCAGCTTCTGGAAGCTTCTGTTGTTCTTTGGAATGCAGCTCTGCCTTGGTCTTCACATGGGACCCTCCCTCTATCTATCTCTGTCTCCTTTTTCCTAAGGACAACACTCTGGCTAAGTTAGAACCGACTGTAACTTCATGTTAACAGAGAAGACCTTATTACCAAACAAGGTCACTTTTCCAGGTACCAAGATTTAGGGCTTTAGCGTGTCTACTTGGGACATTCAGTTCAATCCCAAATAGATTCCCTCTAGAGCTCTTGCTCCCAATTCTGGTCTACATTACACACACGCACACACACACACACACACACACACCTTTTTGTTCATTTAACAGCCAATTATGGAACCACAGTCTAAAGGGAAATCTTCTGTTCAGACTTCAAACCAGTATTCCTCCCCTCAGTGCCCTGTACTTGTCGTACATCACTCTGAGGATTCTGACTTCTCTGGAGCCACTAGGGATCATGAGAGGGGCTGAGCCCTCAGCATGTGACCTTCATTCTACAGTGTGGGAGTCACATATCCTTGTCCTTTCTTGACAAAACCCCAGAGGATTCTGGTCACAGTATGTTACTTTTGACATCATAGGCTATAGCTTTAAGATCCCATTTTTCACTTCCTTGGTTTTACTTGGAAAGCAGGAGAAATTACCATACAAAGCACCCTTTTGTTCATTTTATATACTCAAGCATAATTTTTTTACAAGCTTTTCCATTCTGCGTTCCAGATATTCTTTTGAGTTTCTATATAATAGTAATTGTAATTGTAATAACAGCCACAATTTATTGACAACTTTCTATGCACCAGGTCCTGTGCTTGGCTCTGTTATCGTCATGCTGTGTTATATCATGGAATCCTTTAAATAAACACAGGAGGCAGTTGTGGTTGTTGTTACATGCCATCAAATCAACTATGATTCATGCTGACCCTGTAAACAATGGCTCTGAACTTTGCCCTATCCTCAACCAACCTCACCATCTTTGACACACCTGGCTCCACTGCCACTGTCACTGTGTCAGTCCATCTCATCCAGGGACTTCCTCTCCTGTGCTGACCCTCCATTCTTCCAAGCATGACGTCCTTCTCTAAGGACTGGTCCCTCCTGACACCATGCTCAAAGTAGATGAGATGGAATTTCACCATTCTTGCCTCCAAGGGGCACCTGGGTCTCACCCTCTCCAGAACAGACTTGTTTGCTCTCTTGGCAGTCCATGATATGATACTCTTCTCCAGCACCACAGCTCAAAAACATTGATTCTTTTTCTTGTCATCCTTGATCATTGTCTAGCTTTCAGATACAAAGTCAGGTGCACTTTACAATCTAGTCTGACATCGTTGCTCTTTAGCACTCTGGGGAGGTCCTTGATAGGATATTTCCCCAATGAAAATCATCTTTTGATTTCCTGATTGCTGGTGCCAAGGGTGCCTATTGATTGTTGGTCCAAGTAAGATGAAATTGTTAACAACCTCAATCTTTTCTCCATCTATCATGATGCTGTCTATTGGCCTGGTTGGTGGTGAGCATTTTTGCTTTGTTTACTTTTTTAAAATTGATTTGCTTAGAAAGTTTGTAAACATTGTGTTTCACACTATTCTTCATTCACATTGTGTTTCATGCACTCATTCTCATGCATTATGCTTTATAAAATTCATCACCATTGAACCTTGCCCATCATTAATTACCCTGTCTTTTCCCCCTGATCCATGCTGAGATGCAATTTATATTGAAAGCGTCACTCCTTGATATTCTGCAGCAGATGCTTCAAGTCCTGCTCAGTTTCGGCAAGTAAGGTTACATTGTCTGCGTAACAAAGGCTGTTGATGAGTCTTTCTCCAATCCTGATGCCACATTCTTCCTCATAAAGTCTATAGGAAACTAAGGCTTGAAGAAATCAATGAATTATCTCCTAGGAATGTGACCTAGCTGGCCCCAGAAGGAAAATGTAACCTTTCTGGTGGACTTGGTTCACTCTCAATGCACTGCCTCTTGGGCTTCCATATCTCTGGGGCTATTTTTTTACTTCCCAGAAACCTCCAAGCCTCCCAAGGTTTACAGAACTTAATAGTAGTCACTATTGTGGGAAAGGTTCCACAGACACCCGCCCCCCCCCCTTTTTATAACCAGCTAAGGCCTCATTGGCATCATAGTATTTTCACTCGCACAAAGGTGTGACAGAAACAGCAAAGAACACAGATTAGTGAGTGCTTTGACCATATACAAACTGGATTCTAGGAAATATGACCATGACCCTTACAGCCACTGTAGACCTTCTCAGAGCTGGGAGGACAGGAGTATGGTCTAGAAGACATTGGCCTCCTCTTCAGTTCATCCCTCCAGCTTCATCAGCCTTCATCTTGTGACCTAATACAGTCATCATCCATTCTCACATGATGTCTGTTTTCACTTAAAGACCTGTCGATAAGTGAGGAGTAGTATATAACAGTTGTTTTAGAGGAATATTCCTCATTCCTTCAAAAAGCACAAAAGCTATTATAGGTTGAAAGCAGAGCTTCAAATTGATAATTGTTCCTCAGCATTTATTGGAGGGTAGATTAATCATGGGTCTGTACAATTTCATGGGGGGTGAGGGAAATTGGAAGAATCTGGTCTGAAAAACAATGTATTCTAATTTTGTAAATGAACTGGTATAATAAAAATAATTTCAAAAAATATTGTAGCATTATTTCCAACAGCCAAATAGAAAAAGTAACCTAAGTATCCATCAACAGATAAATGAATTTTAAAAAGTAGCATGTTTATTTTTTTTGTTGCTCTGTACTGTTGAGTCAGAATCAACTGAGAGCTGACCTCCCTTTTGGTTTAGAGAGGCAATAAATTACAAGGGAGGACACTGCCCATCTTTATCCTCCGGAGTAGCTGGTGGACTTGAACTGCGCGCCTTTGCAGTGACAGCACAACTCCTTACCACCAAGTCACCAGAGCTCCCTACATACATAATGTTGTTGTGGCCATCGAGTGGTAACCGACCCATAGTTGACCCTCCAGTGGGTTTTCAGAGACAGTAAATTGCACAAGAGAAGATTGCCTGTCCTCCTCCTGTGGGGCAGCTGGTGAATTAAAAACATGTGCTTTTGGGATTGCGGCACAGCTAATAGAATATTATTATTCTGCAGAGAAAAACGGTGCTCAGATGTATAACTCAACATGGATAAACTTGAAAAACCTTGTTCTGAGTGAAATAAATCAGACACAGAATGACAACTATGAAATAGCTGAAGCAGACAAGTGAATAGAGACTGAAGTTTAGTAGTTACTAGGAGTGAGTGGGAGGAAGAAAAGGGAACATATTGTTTAGAGGGGACTAAATTTTTATTAAGATGGTGAAATCTTAAAAACCAGTGGTGACAGTTACACAATAGGGGGAACACTATTAATGTCACTGAATTATACAGGTGAAAAATGTTGAAATGGGAAATGCTCCACGATACATCTGAAAAGCCAAAGTTATTAGAATGAAAGGAATGATTGATTGGGAAGGTTGGTGTACTTTTGTTGTTCGTTTGTTTACCAGTGGCATGACCTTCTCCCTACTGGTCAGAGAGATCCTTTCATCTGGGAAAGGAAGAGGGGTTATTAGATGATTCCCGAAGAATTTAAAGAGCAACAAAAAAAAATTAATGTTTTACTTTTAACATTCAAAATAGGATTGCACACCAAGACTTCAATAACTGGAATGCTATGTTTGGAGTGAGAGAAACGGTTTTTCTAAATTACTTTCACTTCCGTTTGGTCCAGATCATAGGCTTTCTTAATAGGCTAGAGAAGATGACCCTGTAATAATTTAAATTTATCCAGGAGTCTGGAACCAGGAATAAGGCCACCATGAAGGAGAAGAAGTAAACAAGTTAGCTGAAACTTCTCATCCTGGAGATTGTGGGAAGAGGAAGCCACAAATGAATAGGAGCTGAAGAACAAGTGATGAGACATGTGCTCTGACATTCCCTGAAAGGCAGCGAGCCTTTCCTGATGCCCCTGCACCCGGAGGGCAGGAGGAGAGCATTGAAGGGCTCACAGCTTCTGAGCAAGCTGAGGTGAAAAGAGGAGCCCCTGACAGACGTCAGCAGACAAGGCCAGCACTTGCCTAAGGACCTACACAAAATCAAGGTTCCCTCTTCCCCCATGATGCTGTGGACCTTAGATACCTTCTTGTGGAGGAATAAGGAGAAGCCAGCTGAAATGAGAGAGTCCAAGCAGTTCCTCAAAGGGGTCAATTAAATGACTGAATTCTACTAAGGATTACGTTGTAGTTACTGAACAGCACAAATAGTTAATCCCTCAACAACCAGCTAGACAGGGTTTGAATCAAACTTGGCAGGGCAACTTCTGAAAACTTCGTGGAGCAGTTTTATACCATGATGGCTGACTTAGTGGCAACCACTAGCAACACCAACAGGTTAACGTCAAAGCTGATTGCATGTTTAATTTGATTCCTCCTCTCTCATTAATAATTAAGAACAAATGAGATGACAGCACAAAGAAACAAAGAAAATACCTAATCTGCACATTCAAGTTGTGCCTGCCACGTCCTAGTTCCTTTTTTTTTTTTTTAATAAGCCTTTTCTATTTTGGGCTCAGGGGTTTCTGTTTTTTACTCTTCTTCCTCTTTTACGTTCTTGGTTGTGGTTGCTGAGCTCTCGTTCT